AATTAGATTAGGATCGGATCAGGGACAGTAAGGCAACGGGCCTTACAGCCATGCGCGCACACACGAGTCCTCCGCGTGTACGGGACGCGTACTACACGTGGAATGTCATCGCCGCCGGCTGACAGCGTTACAGTGTCGGTAGACCGGCACTACTGTAGAGTTATGATAGACTACAATGTACATTAAATATGAGCGGACCGCCGGCGGTGGAGGACGACAAGAAAGGACTTGTCAAGGATCATCCACCTTGGTCCGCCCGCTTACTTTTAGGTACTTCCGTCCGTTTTACCTAGGAGTAGCACCGCGCGCGGGTTGAGGACGCGCGTAGCACGCCCACGAGCCGGCTCCGCCTCCGCCCGTCGGTACTGGATCGTCACCCAGTACCGCTCCGGGGCGTCGAGGCGTAGAACCGCTCGCGCGTGCGCGCGTCCTCCCCGATCCCTCTCTACCACCGCTACCTCGAGCCCGTGCTCGGTACCGTGGGTGGGCCGTGCTTCTGTCTTCCCGCCGATCGGGGTCTTTCCGAACTGTCAGTACTCACCCCCCTCGTCGTTGGGGGTGATTATACTACACTCATGTAGATCGGGCGGGATGCCCGCAGCTTCTTGATTTATCAAAGGTCCGTCATCCGTCCTATTCTTCGTTTGCGCGGTGGGTTCTTCTCGCTCTCCGTCTCGGTCGAGGAATTGTAGCGCTTGTCGTAGCCAGACTATCGGCGTGTAATCCATGGGACTAGGGGTTAATTCGACTCTATCTCGCGACACGCGCTCTTCCTGGTCGCCGATGGCAATGATGACCGTATTCTCAGTTGACTCCTTCACTTGATACGGACCCGTGGCCACTTGTGCCAACTTATGTTTCGGCTCGGTGGCCGTGCCTTGCTCTTTCCGAAGGAATACGTAAGATCCTGAAGGGATGTCATACTTCGACTTGCGGAGCCTTGCGTCGAAATTTCGCTTGTAGCGCGCTTGTTCTTTCTGCAAGCTCTTACCAGCGCCTTTCATCAGGCTTTTCAACCACGACTGCCATTTCGGGTAGTACGCTCGATTCGAGCTGAATCCTTCCAAACTTGGCTGTGCTTGTAACGCAATGCTTCTCGGCGCCCGAGCTAACACCAGCTCGAAGGGCGCGATGTTCGTAGTTCGATGAACTTGCGTGTTGTATGCGAACGTCACGGCGTCGCTAAATAGATCCCAGTCCTTGGGATGCTCTCTAACATATTTTCGCAAAGCGGAAGTCAGCGTGCGGTTTAACCTCTCAACTTGGCCGTTGGCTTGCGGGTGGTACGTAGTCGTGAACACATTGCGGATGCCGAGAATTCGACAGACGTTCTGAAAGAACCGGGCCGTGAACTTTGTTCCATTGTCGGACAGCAGCTTGACCGGCGGTCCGTAATCTTGACAGGGCATCAGCTTGGCTGTTCGCCTTGCCCTTCTTGTACTTGATTTCGAAATCAAATTCCGAGAGGCGGAGCCTCCATCGGATTAATCTCTCGCTGGGGTCTGTTACGTTCATCAACCACCTCAATGCTCGCCATATACATATGGTTTTAGAGTCTGTACGGCCCAAATTACCGCTAGACTTTCTTTTTCTGATACAGAATAGTTTCTCTCGGCTGCGGCTAACGTTCTTGAAAAGAACCCGATGGGTTTACGTTGCGCATCCGGATGCGTTTGAAATAATGCAGCGCCGATTTGATAGTCGCTTGCATCGGTGTCTACCGAGCATGGTAGGTCCTTCTTCGGCAGCGCCAACACCGGTGGCGCCAAGATAGCGTCTTTGAGCTTATGAAAAGCTTTTTCGCACGGTTCGTCGAATCCTTTCAACTGGACCGGTTGTCCCTTCTTCAATAGTTGATTGAGCGGATGCGCAATTTTCGCATAATGCGGAACGAATCTGCGGTGGACATTACAAAGTCCCAAGAAGCTCCTGAGTTGGGTCTGCGTTTGAGGGTACCTCACTTGTTCCAATGCGACGGTTTGCGCGGCGTCAACTTCCAATGTACCCGGCCGAACGACATGGCCCAGGTACTTGATCTTTTCGACGAAAAATTTGCACTTGCGAAGCTTGAGCTTCACACCTGCCTTTTCCAATACAGACAGTATTTCGTCAACGTGGACGACGTGCTCCTCCCAGGATTTGCTGAAGATGATGATATTATCTAGATACACCAAACAGCATTTCCAACGGAACGGAGGGAGCAGGATATCCATGGCTCTCTGAAACGTCGCTGGCGCGTTGGTAAACCCGAAGGGCATTCTTGAAAAACGGTAAAGACCTGAGTGACACGAAAAAGCTGTCTTGTCGCGGTCCGCTTCCGGAATGGGCATCTGCCAATACCCTGAAATCGCGTCCAACGCGGAAAAGACCTTGGTGTCTCCCAACGAGTCCAAACACTCATCCATGTGCGGCAAAGGGCACGTGTCCTTCACCGTTACCGCGTTTAACCGGCAGTAGTCTACGCAAAAGCGCATCGATCCGTCCGGCTTGGGCACTAATAAAAAGGGCGACGCCCATTCTGACTGCGCCGGCTCGATGACTCCTGCTTCTAACAACTTCTGCGTCCTCGACCTCCCGAGCCTTTGTGACCGGCTCGGTAGGGAGCTTGTGCAATTGGCCTTGTATCCGGGGCCAGTTCAATCCGGTGGACCGTGGTGTTGATCTCACCAAGGGTCCCATCCCACATGCGGGAATATTTTTTTAACATCCGACGGAATCTTTCGCGCAGCCGGTCCGGCACGTGGCTCAGGTCGAGCTCCTCCACGTCTGGCGGGGGAGGCTCAATCCGCCGCTCCGGCTTCGTAGCTGCCGTCGCGGAGAGCCCTTCCTCCCGTTCTCCTTGCTGGTCCTCGCGATCTTGTTCCCACGGTTCGCATCTTCTCTCGCCCGTAGGCGGCGGGGTAGAATTAGTAAATTTTTCCTCATCCCTTTCTTGAATTCCAAGTAACTTACCAATGGTGGTATTGCTCTTGAATACGGCCCTCGGGTGAGGTAGTAGTTCCGCAACCACTTGGCCTTTATGAACCCTGACAGGGTACTTCCTAAAATTCGCTACAAGCAATCTAAAAGGTTTGTCAGGCTCAACTTGAACTACACCGTTGGTGCTTACCAGGCCGTGCTTGTCGTATAGGGGTGCGTAGGGTTGAACGACGACCAACCCAGTCCTCTTCGAGGTGTATTCGACCATGCGTTGCGTCCCTTGCCTAATGGTCGTGGCTCTTGCCACCTTCACCCTGGGGGAAACTCGCTCCCCTTTTGCAACGGTCTCGCCCTCTCCGGGAACCAAATGCTTCTTCGATCTTCTCGCCGAGAATCGCCGTACGATCGGAACCTCCGAGAAATCCGCCAACTCAACTGTCCTCTTTCGTGGGTAGATAGCCTCCACGAACCTATCACAATAGTCCGCTCCTAGAATTAGGGGGACTGCGAGTTTTTCACAAACTATAAATTCGACTGAAGCCACGAAACGCCCAAGTCTCACAGGCATTTTGAGTGTGCCTAGAGTTCGGAGTGGCCTGTTGTTCGCATCGCCGATGTTCCATCGGGGAGAGCATCTCGTAGTTCTTCAGAACTCGGTGCATCTCTCGGAACGAGAGCAAACACGTAGGCGCTCCGTGCCCCTTCTGGTAGCAACGGTAGCATACGAGGCCATGCTTCTTCTGAGGTTACGGCGACCTTGGCGGTCCTCTGGCCGTCGGCCGGCCCGTCCAGCCCGTTCTTCTGAATGCCGTACCCTTGTCTTCCATCGGAATTCTTGGCGCTGGCGTGTGTCCGCGCCCTCGAAACGCTAACACGGGATCCGCGGCCACTGTATACGAGTCCGTCGTATACGTGGGCGTCTGTAGCGTAGACATCCCACTAGCCCCGTGATCCTCGTCTCCATACCCCTCGGAGGGGTCATAAAAATCGCCCTCGGCGACCAGCGCTCCTGCGTATCCATTTTCTTTCTGATCAACAGTACTAGGTCCTCTGGACGCAGAAAGTGAATCGGCCAAGTGGACCGCGCCGCGGGTTTTTCGCGTGGGGTGCGAAGGCTTCTGCTTCCCCCCCGTCCTTAGCGTCGCTGGCGCTTGGATGGTGACTCTCCTAGCCTTCCTCTCCTTGGCGCGGCTCGCCGAGCCATGCGCCCTGGCGTAATTAACTAGTCTCAAAAACGAAACGTCCCGATTGTCTTGTCGAAATTGCGATACCATCGGCTTGATACTCGAATCGAGTCCTTCAATAAACATGGTCATTTGTTCTTCCATCGAATATACGTTTCCACATCGATTGCTCGCGTCCGTCAGACGGATATAAAATTCCATCTCGTCTTCAGACGGTAGCTTCTGTACTTACCTTAAAGCGAGTACGGCTTGGCGGATGGCCTCATCGGTGGCGAAGCTTCCCAATAGCCACTGTACGGCCTCCGACCAGACGGATATTTTCCCATGGTGGGACCCCGCCGTTTGTGACACCGAAGTATACTGTCTCAGGGCGATTCTGCTGAGGAACTCCGGTAGCAAGCGGATCGCTTGGCCTTCGTTCATCTCCTGGGTGTCGAACTCTTGGACTATCTTAGCTAAAAAATCTAGAACCAATACGCCATCGTCTCCTGTGAACGTATTGTCTCTCTTCACCTTTGGTGGTATGTCTCTTCTGATCTTTCGCACAGCGGTCGCCCGCTTGCCCGACAAACGTGTCTGTGGGTTCCGCAGGCGGTGTACCATAAACACCCCTAAACGGATAGGGGTGTATGCTTAGTCCTGGAAGACCCGTACGTACGAGAAGACGGGGGAAGTCGGACCAGCTAACGAAACCGGAGCACGGGCCCGGGTAGCGTGGTAGAGCGGGATCGGGGGAGGACGCGCACACGCGCGGGCCGATCTACGCCTCGACGCCCCGGAGCAGCGCTGGGTTACCTTCCAGCGCTGACGGGCGGAGGTGGATCTAGGCTCGCTCGCGTGCTCGCGCGTCCTCTACCCGCGCTCGGTCTCGCCTTAAGGTAGCTAACGGAAGCTTCCTTAGGATAAGCTGGCAGTCAGACCTAGGCGGTAGGTCGTGGACAAGTCCGTCCTTGTCGCCCTCACCGCCGCCGGTCCGCTCCGTTATTTAATATACAATCAATCCTAACATTCTACAGTGCAGTACGGACTGTACTGTAGAGCTACTGTAGTCAGCGCGGGCCGTCCTGTGCTGACAGTACACGTGTGGGTACACGTGTGCTCGTAGGTATGCGCGCCTCGTACACGTGTACTACACGTGTGTGCGTGCCCACTTCCGAGCCCCGTACACGTGTGGGTACACGTGTGCGCGTGTGTGGCTCGTATTGATCTAATCTAAATCTAATCTTGAACCGCGGTTATGCCACACGGCCCCCTCCTCAAGAGTGAACGTCCGCGTTCACCCTTGAGGCACGAGGGAAAATGTGCGATCTGCGCACTTCGCGAGACTTGGCCCTGTCTTCCTGCTATCCGTCGTATTCCTCCGCGTCGCTCCCCGATCGACACCCCTCCGTCCGCGCCTCGGTCCTCCCCCTTACGCGTTACTCTTCGATCCACATCAGCGTTTCCCCGCAATTCGGCATCGTACCCTGGATCTCTTCGCAGTCCCGTTCTGCTCGCGCGTCCTTTGGAGGCCGACTCCGGTGCGGCTTCATTCTCGATCCATTGTCCTCTTTCCTTAGGAGGCGTCCCATCCCGCACGCAGCTTTGCGCTATCTCAACATCCCTGCTGCGTTCCAACCCGCCCTTCGCTGGCGATTCTCCCAGTTGGGGTACTGTACGCGTGAGGTTAGTCGTCCCTCTTGCGTGTGTGTTATTATGGCCACGCCCACTTCGTCTCACTCTCCCCCTCATCCTCGGGTGCAAACGCCGTCCCGAATCGCTCGCAGTCCTGCACATTTGGCACCCGTGCCGCCACGAGCGCCGCAATCGTCTTCACTGCCCCATATGCGACATTCTTCATCGGCAGCGGTTTGAGCACCGGCATACGACTGAAACCCTGATCATTGGCAAGATCGATCTCTCGGGCCCCTCCCTTACAGCGGCGTTATGCCGGAAGACCCTATTCCTATTCCTTACCCTTAGAAAATGCGTCACAAAATCCGCCACAAAGAGCTTCCGCACGCCATCCTCTTGTCGACCACTAAACCGTCGACACTAAAACACATCCATGTCCTAAAGCGCGCTGCAACTCCTCCCGTAACTGTACATCGCGTCGTATGGTATGTCCTTCGTACTCGTGCGCTATTGTTCGTGCAGAAGTTAAAAACGGCCTCTGCTGTAGTTTTCCGGCGCAGTGCGAGTTTTTCCTTGATGCTGTGTCGAAGTGCGGCGTATCCTCCATCTTGCCGATTGTCACGGTGTCCTTGAATCTGTCGAAGGAGGGGTCCTATCCAAACCCACTTCGCCGCCCGTGTCCAGCGCATGTCCTCGGTGAGCACCCGGCATGTGACACTGAGAGTCCACATGTCGAACGCAATTCCATACTGCTTTTCGTTAAGCAGTTCCGACGCCGCGTACGACAGTGACCCAGAAATCGTGCTTGTCAAATAGTCGTTGCCGCGACGCAGCAGCTTGGGCAGTTCGAGGTCCGCCAGTCTCGCGTGCCAATCGCCAGTTTGCAACAGCAACTCGTCCCTGTGCCATCACCAGCCCTGAATCGATGTCTCGGAGCGTGTTTCTCCTTCCCGTGCTTGATCCGGGACATAGCGCAAATAAAAGGGCGACCGCCTTCTGAAACGTATGGGACAATGCTTACAGCAGTATGGTCATCGTGGGGATTTCGTTTCGCAATACTTTGGACAAACCCATCTACTGCCACCAAGAGGCTTTGAAATGATTCCCATTCATGCGCAGCAACGGGTCAAATCGGCTCCGGTGATCCCAGAAGCCTGAGCGGCAGCCTCCCTTGTGAGTAGAGATACACAGCCGCCTTCCAACTTCCATGGTCAAAACCATTCGAGCCTCTCCTTCGCTTTCGCCACACGCGCTTACAAAACCTCAGTACCGCTTTGTGCACGCCCGAGCCGTTGGGGAGCGCGCCCTTCAACGGCCTCGTCCTGTCCGCGCTACCCTACCTCGTGTACAGGTTGTATTTCTCGGCTTCATACCCACCTTTCAAAAGGTATGTCGTTGTATTGTACGGACTGCGCATCCTTTCCCCTTTTGTTTTTGTCGAAGCTCAGGCGTGCGTGGGCGGCGCGGCGAGCGGCGAAATCTTCCTCGAAAATCGCCTCGTGTGACCCGCCAGGGGGTCCTACTTATTCGCGTTTTGCCCTCATCGCCTACCCCGGCTGTCGTGGGGGTGTTTCGCGTGTCGGTTCTAGCAATGCCCGCTCGTCCCACCCCGTCCGGTGAGGTGGGCGAGGGGCACGAGGTTGACGTCCGAGCTTCCTCCCTGGCAACACGTACGCGTTCCGGGTTACTGTCTGCGGGCAATCGCGTGCGTTAGGTTTCACCTCCTCCTTCAGTCCTTCCCTTGTCGTGCGTCGTCCTTGAGATTCGGAGCTCGTGACCTCGTTGTAGACTTCCACCCTACGCCTTGCACGGTTTCGCTCTTCTCCCCTCGGGGAGGCACGTCCTAGCTGCCGGGGCGGTACGCGTCTCGTTACGCGTTGTGTATCGGCCTGTCGAGGCTGCATGGAGAGCGTTGCCCGCTTACCTATAGCAATTCGGCGCGGCAGGGGGTGGAGCGTCGTGACGTTCGCTCCGCTGGCCCATCTTTGGTGCGTACGAGGGGGCGTGTTACGAATTACCACATCGCGGTTGGCCACGTACGTCGAACCTCGACCGTGCCTATCCCTTTGCTCTCTTGCTGCTCTTTCGGCTTGACCGCCGCGTCTCGTCGCCCCTCGCGGGCGACTTTCCCGTAAGTCTCGTGCAGCGTCGCCCTTCTCCCATTGGGGAGGCACCTGATCGTCGCTACGTAGTACGTGCGCCGGTTACCCGTCGCGCGTGCGACCTACCGGGGCGCATGCGAAAGAAATGGTACGCGGGCGTGTAGTCCGGCTGTACGACTAGGAGGTGATTGCCACGACGGTGGCTCCGCTGGTAGCCTCTTGACGCATGCGAGGAGGCGCAATGGTCTGGCCGGTTGCGTCGGGTCGTCTTTCGAGGACGACTCACCCTCCCCCTTTAATGCCGACGTCTTCCGCCTCCTACTGAGGAGGTGCGTTGGTGCGGAAGGTGGCGAGGATCTCTGGGGAGTGGTCCGCTCATGACAGCGTGCGACCGCCTCAAGGGCGTCCTTGGCGACGGCTTCGCTTGCGAATTCTTGGCGTAGACGAGGGGGCGCAGCGAGTCGCGGGGTCTTCGTCGTAGATCGCCTCGTGCGGCTCCCGCGCCAGCGTGTCGGCCCGGCGACAGGGGAGGTCCGTGCCTCTGCTCTTATCCCCTCTCGTTGTAGTGTGGATCTTACCTCACCGAAGGGCAACGCGCTCCGTGCGCTGCTTTCCGCTGTCCGATTGCGTGTCGCCCCCAACTCCACTTGTCCTGTCGGTCGCATGCGCACGTGCGCACGCACACGTTGCCCTATTGTACGCCTTCCCTTTTTTTGATTATTTCCGGAGGCGGCGGCGGTTTGCTGCCTGGCCCTCGGCGGCGGGGGCTTGGCATACAGTGTCATTCGGACCTTATTTTTCACCTATTTTTGGTCCGTTCCCCAAAATTATTTTGGGTACGTGGTAACGGATTGACCGCAGGGGTCGGGCGGCCCGCACGGCTTTCTAGTTCTTGTAGGCCCGCCCTTTTTCCATCGGTACCTCTTCGGTCGTGCGCGGTCGCAGGATCATGAGTGTCTCTACGCGTGGAGCTCGTTGCGACCGTTCGCGTCACTTCCTGGCTAGGAGGGTTACGTCGCCCTCCTACTTGTCGGTGGAAACTACGCGATAGGCTTCGTTACCAGCGGTTCGAGCCGCTTGGTATTTATGTGTCGCGCAGTGAGCTTGGACTGTCCAGACGTATTGGCGTCGCTTTTGTTTTCCGATTCGAGCACTCGATCGGAGAGTGTTATCGTGACGATCTCGCGTATCTTGGGAGATCGTATGCTCCCCTCCTGTACTTGATGTTCCAGGGCTTGCCGTTTTCGTTGTACAGTCCGTACTGTCTTCGCTTTTCGCGCTTTGTTGACGACGTCGGTCGTGTTTGATGAGCTTCACGGTCAATACGTTTTGGCTTCTCGCGCTTTCGTTGGCCGCCCCGGTTGGGTATGTTTGTCCGTTCGTACGCGTCATCTGTTCCTAACCGCGACGTGTTAATTACGCGGTGACGAAGCGGTTGGGGGCCCCTTTCTCAAGAGTGAACGACCGCGTTTACTTCGGAGGTGAGTTCCCTGCCTGTACGCGTTCTCAGTCGTTTCGCGTATCGCGACACTAGGTCCTCTGGAACATGTGTTCGTGCAGTCCAAGTGGGCTCGTCGTAGTCAGCCCACTTGATGAGGAACTCTGTAGTTTCGTCCTCTACCACGCGATGCTTGAGCAGACGCTCGACCGCGTACTGCGTGCCCTCGGTGACCTTGTCGGCAAGGTCACCTGGGGTTGTTGCACTTGCTCGTGGCGCGTCCGTCGGATGGGGCGCGTACACGCAGCGGTCCGCCGAGACGCGCTCCGTCACCCCATCACGGTCGATCGTGATGGTTCGTTTGTCGTTGGCCAGTACGCGGTATGGTCCAACGGCAGGTGACGCGAGCTTGTTCGACATCTTCGCTCCATCGGTGGGGTTGAGGTACACGTAGTCCCCCGGCTTGAGTCGCGTGTTAATTCTTCGTACGCGTTTATCGAAGTCGCGTTTGTAGCGGGCTTGCGTACGATGCAAGCTTTCGTAAGCTTTTTGGATCGTCTCGTCCAAGGTCTTGAGAAACTCTGCGCGTTGAGTTCCCCTGTCAGGAGGGGGTGCGTCCCCGTCGGCTCTTCGAAGAGAGAACTCCGGCGGGGGTCTGCTGAGCACGAGCTCAAAGGGTGTCGTACGCGTGGTTCGGTGTACGTGGGAATTGTACGCGTACGTAAGCGGTCCCACGTACACGTCTTAATCATCCTGATGCTCGTTGACGTAGTTCCGAAGCATCGACGCGATAGTCCGGTTGTAATGTTCAACCTGTCCATTTGTCTGGGGATGATACGCGGACGTATTTAAGTTAGTTATCCCCAGCACGCGACACACGCTGTGGAAGAACTTCGCGTTGAATTGAGGGCCGTTGTCCGGCAACAGCGAACACGGAACGCCGTATTTGAAGACCCACGCGTCACAGAACGTGACTGCGACGGCGTATGCGGTAATCGTACGTAGCGCGACGACCTGCGTAAGCTTAGTGAAGCGGTCGGTAATTACAAGCAGGAACCGTTTTCCTGCCTTCGTCTTGGGGAGCAGACCCAGAATGTCGATAGCCAGGCTCTCGAGCGGCTGAGTTGCCGGGAACAATCTCAAACGGTTGAGGTGTTTCCGCAACTTAACCCGGTTCATCGCGCACGTCCGACACCCCCGCACCGTAGCGGCGACATATGCGGCGAGATGGGGCCAGTAGTACTCGCGGCGTAGCGCGTAGTACATACGGTTCTGGCCCGGGTGTCCCGCGATGGCCGGGTTGTGGCACAGGCGAAGGAGCCTGGCGCGGAGCGTCCGAGGTACCACCACCTGTACGATATCAGGGTCGAAGGGGTGTCTCCGCTTGAGCACCCCCTGGTGGTCCTCGAAGAACGCGGAGTCCCGGGACTCTGACTGTCGTGCCAAAACGGTTTGGCAGAAGTCATCCACGCGTTGCTCCTCGGCGATCTCCTCAAACGTAAGAGGGGCCGGTAGGTCGTCCTGCGGAGGAGCGACCGTGGAGGCGGGCGCCCTGACCTCGGGTTCTTCGGCGCGCTCGAGATCAACGGCGTCAAACTCGTCGTTCTCCTCCCAGAACGGACTGGGTCCTTGGAGAACGGGGGCTTCGTCGTCGCCCCTTGGTTCGTCGCGCGTTCGGGCGCGCGACCTTCTTCGTGGTCCAGCTTGGCTTCGCGTCGTCGCGAAGACGTGTTCGACCTTGTGGTCGCAATTTTCGGTACAGACGTGGTCCGCGAGCTCGTTTGATAAGTCTCGAACGGTCGTACCTGCGTCGAAGGTGGGAATGTCGTCATCCACTTCGACGGCCGGGCGGGGGTCGTCGGCGACTCTTGGCGACACGAGGCGTGACAAGGCGTCCGGTACTTGGTGCACGCGCCCGGGGGGGGTACTGGATGGTGAAATCGTATTCAGCCAGACGTAGCAGCCACCGGGTGAGTCTTCCAGAACTCTCCGTGAGGGACATGAGCCACCTCAGCGCGTCGTGATCCGTCCGGACGGTGAGCTTCGTGCCTTCAACGTACGGCCGTAGTGTGCGGACGGCCCACACTACGGCAAAGCACTCACGCTCTGTAACGCTGTAGTTGCGCTCACTATCGGCCTGTGAGTACGACCAATACCCGACGGGTCGCCAATCGTTTGGCTGGTCGTGCTCTTGGAGCAACGTGCAGCCCAACTGGTAGGGGCTCGCATCCGTGTCGATCATGTACGGACGGCCGTACCGCGGAAGGGCGAGGATCGGCGGAGCGATCATGGACTTCTTGAGGTCCTCGAACGCCTCCCGTTGCGCCTCCGTAGGATTGTAGAAGTCAGGATCCGAATCCTTACGCGTCATGTCGGTCAGAGGACGGGCTATCTTCGCGAACCCCTTAACGAATCGGCGGTATACGTTGCACGTCCCGAAGAACGAGCGCACTTGCGTCAGCGTCCTCGGGAACGTGAAGGTCTTGAAGGCGTCGGCCGCCGTATCGGCCACACTTAACTTATCTGGGGAAATGACGTGCCGCAGGTAGTGTACCTTCGGTTGAAAGAAGCTACACTTCTTGAGCTTGAGGGAGATTCTGGCACTCCGCAGCAAGCTCAAGACAATGTCGGGATGCTTCGCGTGTTCTCCGTGCGTACGTGAGAACACGATGACATCATCCAGGTACACGAGGCATATTTGCCACGTACGCCAGATAGGATGATGTCGAGTGCGCGTTGGAAGGTGGCCGGTGCCCCTTTTAGTCCGAACGGCATGCGCAAGTGGCGAAACGTGCCCATGTGCGTAGTAAACGTGGTCTTATCCCGGTCTTCCAGAGCGACCGGGATCTGCCAATAACCGGAATTGCAGTCCAACGTGGTGAAGACAGTAGTGCAATACGCACCTGGAAAGGGGGGTGAAAAGAAAGGAAAACATTTGGATGTGAAAAGTAGTCCGGGTTTGGGGGACACACGTGTGAATAATTGCACAGTTCTAATTTTAATTATTTTATTTTATTTAGTTAATTAGTTGGCATTGATTTTGCTGACACTAGATTAGATCTAGGATCTAGAGCCGGGAGCTACTGTACTGGCTCCGGCGGGGCGATATATACCTTAGCCCTCTGACGACCAAGTCAGTAAAGGTAACCCGAGTTGCCGGAGTTGAATGTCGCCTTGGTCGAAGTCCGTCTCTATCAAGACGCTCCCTTTTACCTAAGCCTACGGCATCCTCTATCGCTCGGGGTTCCCTTTTCTCTTTCCTTTATTTCCCTATCCTTTTCTATCTCTAATTCTACCTATTTTTGCCTTATCTTGTGTTGGTGCCATCGGTGTCGGTTGCGACCGAACCGGTGTAGGTGTTTCGAGCCATCGGGCGACACAGTTGACGTAGCGCTGCTACTGTGACCCATTTTCCGACGGAGACCGTTGCAACGACGTCTCCCTCGAAGGGCTCCGTCGTATTACGAGCCAGTGTTGGTACCATCGGTGTCGGTTGCGACCGAACCGGTGTAGGTGTTTCGAGCCATCGGGCGGCACGGTTGACGTAGCGCTGCTACTTTCATTTCATCCCGTCGGGCTGCGTTGCGACGCCCCCGTCGAAGGCCTTGTCGCGTTACAAGTTGTCGAAGAAGCTCAACGAGCATTGGCCTTACAACCCAGTGGAACCGGGGTACCTACGTACGCGCCCCACCCCACACTCGTCGAGCAGATCTCTTCGCAAGTCTCTACCACACCGATCCCGGGCCGGGCTATTTCTCTGTGCCCCCCCATCAGGGATCCGAGCTACTACGAGTCGCAAGCTCGTTTAAACGGAGAAGGGAGAGTCGGACACTCCGTAGCGCTGTGCCGTCGGCAGTTCTTCTTTTTGTTGCTGTTGTTGTTTTTGCTGGACCATCGGACCGCGGTCTCTGCCCGACAGGCGCATTGCACTACAAAAGTGGTCTCCCGACCTAGAATTTTTGTTTACTGTTCAGGAGACCCGACCTACAATTTTTGTCGACGACAGTCTCGGTCTGGAGACACACTACAAAAGTGGTCTGGGTAACGGACTCTTTTTTTATTTTCTTTTTGTTTGTAACTTTTTTGCTGCGTAAGTCCGCTCGTACGAGCGATGTCAACAAGCGCATCCGGGGACGTCGGTCCCGGGGCGAGCAGAGCCGGATCGGCACGAGCGTCGAGGATCCCGAGGGGTCCTCGCACCTGGAGCCAGGCCAATACGGCCACGGA